CATTTCCATGTATAATCTGTTTGTGTACACTAAAACTTGTACAAATTTCATAACATCGATCAGGAGGAGCTGAAATGTTAAAATAGTCGAATTTTGTGTTTATCATATTTTTATGATAGTAAACGTACTACTACTCCTAATTTGGGCAATATCTTTGTAGAAACAGCAAGTGCAAAGTAAGGCATTGATCTTTTCAAGAGATGGTTTATTTTGTTCCCCTCAAGATTCGAACTTGGGTCTTCCAACTGTGCTACGTGCAAAAATTACTCCATAAGAAGGTTCTCTCAGGAATCGAACCCAACTCTTCACCTCCAAAGAAAAACGACTTACCAAACGCACTGTGTATCTACTTTATAGTCGAAGTTTTAAAAAAAAATGAAAATTGTTTTGTTGCTGGTTTCACTACCCTGCATCCAACTGCTTATAAGGGCGTAGTCCATCAGAATCGCGGTTCCGAATCCAGCTGGACGAAATTTTGAAATACCGAACTGAACCGAATTTAATCGCAAATTACAGCGTATTCTGGTGCGAGCGTAACCTGAAATCCAAATTTATTTGCTTAATATTTGTGTACATGGAAACACGCCCCGATTCACAACATGATGTGTATATAGAAACACGCCCCAACCACACTCCCACCCCCTACCATACCTGCACTTTGTTCCAACCAATCCCAACCCAATTTCCCCACCCAACTCAGCCCATGCACCTCGCCCAACCAATCGAAATCGGCCAAGCGATTCCAGCACGGCTAAATCCAGCTCAACCCCCTGCTCGCCCCAGCCACCCAGCCCACCATGTTGCTCACTTCACATGCCAGCAATCCTTGCCAGAACAGACTTCTGATCCTTCCTTATCTGCCTCCTTGCGCCCAATGATGTCTTTCAGCTAGACTTCTCGTACAGTATTATCCACCGGCAGTTCAATATGTATCAGTTTCAGCTCCCCCTCTTGCCTTCGCACCCCCTTAGTGATTAGCTTCTTCCTCTACCAGACTTTAACCAGCTACCATGGTCGTTCTTGGTTTACGATAACATGAGTATGTCATTTCGCGATAGCTGTTATTTCTGTCGTTTTAATCTCCTGATAATTAGCTCCTAAGTGACTTTTGTTGTTCACAATTGTCCTTCTTATTGGCAGGTTCATGAGCTAATACGTCTTCGAGGTTGAAGGCATTTGTTAACTGGAGTTTCTATCTAACTATGTTTCGCCTGTGTGCTCACGATGCTCGTCTTTATCGCAGCTAGCCATGTAACTCAGTCCAGCATAAAGATTATTCTTCCGGTAAGCCTGTCTCTAAGTCTCGCCAATCGTTTATTCGTCGTACTAATTTCACGACAATGTCTAAGCTGACGTGCAGAGATTTGTAGCCAACCTCGAGGCACCCCTTGTAAGCCTCGTTGAAATTCTTGTTGTTTGGAATTTAAAAAATGGTTGAACGTGATGCGCAGGAATTTATTACCAAGGACGCGCTACTTTCCCATAGTAAGCATTGTTATTACTGTTGGTAACTTGGACATTGGGCTTAATTTGTGATGACTTCTTACTACACAAGCAGGAATAGCAAGTCGGCGTCAACAATTTATGTTGTCGGCAACGTCGTTGGTGTGCCGCTGCTCTGTTTCTGTTCGTGGTAGTGCGGGACTATACGACACAGACTGGCATGCTGCATACGTTATTAGGTTGTTGGGGGCTTGCATCTTTTTAGGTAATTAGGTTGGTAACCACTATGGTAGGAATTGTGTATATCGTTTGTAATTGTGGTACATCAACTTTTATGAATAATATCATTTGATGCACCAATGGTCAACAGAACAAAAATAATGGATGGCAAGAATGGAAAATCATTTTCATACAAATCCAAAGCAGCATCAAAATATGCATCGCAATGCATTTGACGAAACACTATATTGCATTCGAGACAACACCACCCATCGTTTCCGAATCCTCGCGCAGAGTGTTTCGGCAAATGTTGTCCAAGCATTCGCAAAGTGTTCGAATCTAAATCCGCACTATGTTTACACCCATTTGTTCGCAAAACGTTTGCAAAGCATCCATACAGATACCTTGCGAACGTTTTGCGAGCACACCTTTTTTGCGATGGGGAGTTTTGCCGAAATTGGTTTCGTCCAGTGTTTTTGGCACTGTTTTCATGGTCAGTAAGCATGGTTTTTTACCATTCTAGACTTGGGCTTTAAGCAAGGCAGGGGTGATTGAGCAAGGTAGGAGGGATACAGCAAGGTAGGGAGAATTCAGCAAGGTAGGTTGCATTCAGCAAGGTACGGTTGATTCAACAAGGGGGGGTTCAGCAAGGTAGGGTTGATTCAGCAAGGTAGGGGTGATTCACAAAGGAAGGGGTGATTGTGCAAGGTAGGGGTGATTAAGCAAGGAAGGGAGAATTCAGCAATGTAGGGTTGATAATCAAGGTAGGGGTGATTCAGCAAGACATGGGGAATTCTGAAATTTTCGGGTGTTTAAGCAATGTAGGGGTGATTAATCAACGTAGTGCAGAGTTTTCTGCTATAACAGGAGCTGATGCGGAAGTGCCTGATGCAGATAGAGCCACTCTAGCTCTATAGTTCTCTCAGGAGAGATTGCCTTCAGAATTGTGTGTTTCAGTGAGTAGCTTAAGAATGCTTGGGCACACAAATTCACTAGAATCAATATTACAAATTGTGGTACACAAGGCAAACACTAATACTACCTTATTGAACCTCATTGAAGACGGAGAACATTTACATAACTACTCTAAGCTGCGCTTAGCGAAGTCAGCAATGGCAGGTGAAAATTACAGCACATTCTTAGTTGGTAATTTTTACCCACCCAGAAGTAGTTATTCCAACAATTTCAGGTGTAAAACTGTTAGATGTTCCGCACAGTTCTGCAGTTACAAAATGTGCGTCATGGATTCAATTTCTTAATGTCGCAAGTAGATATTGCCATTTTCGGTACAGATCGGTTCTGTGGTTAACTGATAAAATCGCGAATTTCTCGCGATTTCGGAACGCCACCTTCAGAAATACCAAGTCAGTTTTGCCAACGGGGTCGTTCGCAGAAGCTTAGTCCGAGATGTCTTTCTGCCGTATTTCGTCTCTGCCGAGGGGGTTGACTGCAGAAGAGATAGCCGAATTGCATATCTGCTGAACTTCGGAAGAGAGAAATTCTGTACGAAGAGGTCCTTGCGCCAGTCCGCCCGAGGTCCTGGTGGAACACATTTCCGACAGCCAACTCTGCCGAAAGGATCGCCTGCAGAAATGTCTTCTGCGCGATCGTCCGGCAGAGGAATTCTGCAAGGTAGGGGGCATTCAGCAAGGTGAGGTTCATTCAACAAGGAAGGGAGGATTCAGCAAGGTAGGGTTGATAAAGCAAGGTAGGGGTGATTAATAAGGGAAGGGGTGATTGTGCAAGATAGGGGAGATTAAGCAAGGAAGGGGGAGTTCAGCAAGGTAGGGCTGATTAAGAAAGGTAGGGGTGATTCAGCAAGATATGGGGAATTATGCAATTTTTTGGTGATTAAGCAACGTAGGGGTGACTAATCAAGGTAGGGGTCATTAAGTAAGAAAGGAGTGATTAAGCAAGGTAGGGGGGATTAAGCAAGGTAGGGTTGATTAAGCATTGTTAGGATGATTAATCAAGGTAAGGATGATTTAGCAAGGTAGGGGTGATTAAGCAAGGTAGGGGTGATTAAGCAAGGAAGAAGGGATTCAGCAAGTTAGGGAGAATTCAATATGGTAGGGGAGATTAAGGAAGATTGGGAGAATTCAGCAAGGTAGGTATGACTAAGCATCGTGGGGATGTTTAATCAATGTAGGGGTGATTCAGAAAGGGAGAGGGGATTCAGCTAGATAAAGAGACCTCTGCAAGGTAGGGGAGATTCAGCGAGATAGGGGGAATGGAACAATTTAGGGGTGACTAAGCAAGGTAGGGATGATTCAGCAAGGAAGGGGGGGTTCAACAAGGTAGGCGGGATTCAGCAAGTTAGGGAGGATTCAGCAATGTAACGGTGACTCAGCAAGGTAGGAATTATTAATCAAGGTAACGGTGATTAAGTGAGGAAGGGGGGATTCAGCAAGGGTTTGGGAATTCAAAAAGGTAGTGGTGATTAAGCAATGTAGGAGTGATATTAAGGTACGGGTGATTAAGCAAGGTAGGGGTGATTAAGTAAGGTAGGGGTGATTAAGGAAGGTAGCAAGGATTCAGCAAGATAGGGAGAATTCAGCAAGGTATGGTTAATTCAACACAAAAGGGGGGATTCAGCAAGGTAGGGGGGATTCAGCAATCTAGGGGTGATTAAGAAAGGTAGGGCCAATTAATCAAGATAGGGATGATTAAGCAAGCTAGGGGTGACTTAGCAATCTAGGGTTGATTGGGCAAGCTAGGGGTGATTCAGCAAGATAGGGGGAATTCAGAAATTTAGGGTTGATTTGGCAAGGAAGGGGTGATTAATAGGGGTATGGGTGATTAAGGAAGACATAGGTGATTCACCAAAGGTGATTCAACAAGGAAGGGGTGATATAACAAGGTAGAGGCGATTGAACAATGTAGTGAGTACTCTGCAAGGTAGGGGTGATTAAGCAAGGTTGGGTTGATTCAGTAAGATAGGGAGAATTCAGAAAGGGAGGGGGGATTCTGCAAGATATGGGTGTCACAGGATCGAATGTGTCGAGGAAAATTTGCACTATCGATTGATACAAGGTGCTTTTATACTTCCGAAGTACATCAGGTAACCAGGTTTATCCTTTCCAAAGGGAATAGACCCTTCTAGAAATAGAATCACCGTGCGTATAGCCACGCGAGGCTATTGGGTTTAAGGGATTACAACAGGATTACGCTAGATAGAGCGCCCAAGTACATCCCGAGCCTGGTCAGAGATATAAACATAATAACAGGATAAACCAAAGGATAATGAAAAATGCGGAATAGGAAACCAAATGAGATGAGAGAAAAAAAGAGGAATGAGATAGAAAGGAAATATGGAAAGGGGAATTGGTCTAACGGGGTCGTACTCTCACACTTCCCCCCCTCAAAGCTGGGTGGTTGAAGTAACACCCTGCTTGACAAGGTAGTCGCGAAGAGGACCACGGGCGTTACCCATCTCGGATTCAGGAACCCAAGTGTCCTCAAAATGATCATAACCCTTCCAACGGATGAGAAGCTCCATGGTGCCATTCCGACGACGGCGGTGTGCGAGCACGGACTCGACCTCGTACTCGGGTTCATCGTGGACGAGGATGGGTGGCGGCAGCGGCGGTTGGCGTCCGGTGAAGACCGTGTTAGGGTCACGATAGGGCTTCAGAAGTTGGACATGGAAGGCGTTGTGAATCTTCCAGGTAATTGGTAGGCATAGGCGTAAGGTAACAGGAGTGACCTGTGCTTCAACGAGAAAGGGCCCGCAGAAGCGAGGTCTCAGTTTGGATGGGAGATGACTGATGTTGATATTGCGGGTGTCAAGTAGGACTTGGTCTCCCATGGTGATGGTGTGGTCAAACCGGTGGCGATCAGCCTGGCGCTTCTGTTGCTGCTGAATGTCGAGAAGGCGCTTGTGGGTCCGATCTCAAAGCTGATGCATGGTTGAGATGAAGTCGTGTGCGGGTTGAACTGTAGCTAATGCTGTCGGTTTTTGTGGCGTGAGCGGGTGGCGTCCGTAGCAGAGGAAGAACGGCGTCTGTCCAGTAGCGGCGTGAGTGGCATTGTTGTAGGCAAACTCCAGGACAGGCTGATGCAAGTCCCATTTAGAAATTTCGTCTTTGCATGCTGCGCGGAGAAGTTGCTCTACAATTTGGTTGAGGCGCTCGGTCTGTCCATCAGTCTGCGGATGGCAGGCGGATGACATGGCGAGTTTGGTCCCGAGCAGAGACATGAGTTCCTTCTAGAACTTGCTGGTGAACTTGGGGTCTCGATCGGAGATGAGTGTTGTTGGAATGCCATGTTGTGAGATGATGTAGCGAACGAATAGTTTTGCTATCTCTTCGGTGCGTGCTGTCGTGTGTGTCGGGATGAAGTGTCCCATTTTGGAGAATTTGTCGATGACAACGAGGACTGCGTCATGACCGCTAGTGGTAATTGGGTGCGCCTTGGCCCCTTGCGCGTGTGCTGGCGCCTCCCGCGCTCACCAGCCCTCTTGCACCCTCCTTGGCCTTCCGCCCGGTCTCTGTTCTGGAGAGTCCTTCCGCCACGCCGCTCCACCGCCATGAAGCTGAGTACTCGTGTCCCTGTGCCGCTGTGTCCCTATGCCGCTGTGTCCCTGTGCCGCTGTGTCCCTGTGCCATTGTGACGCTGTGCCGCTGAGGTTGCGTGATGGCAGATGTCATGCTACGCCTGAAAGCGTAGGGGCACGCCATCGACTTCGCCGCGTGGCTTGTCGATCTTAGCCGACACCTAACAGGTCAGCTCTAGGATGGGCACTCCCTGGCTATGCATGTTGATGGCTAGCACTCCCGCCCCCCCGCGCCTGCTCCCCTCCCTACTGACCCCACCACTGCTGAGAGTGAGGCCTTTGCTGCTGCTGCGCTCGCTCCCGCTATCTGGGATTCTCGCAATGCCGTAGCGCAGCTTGCCATTAGTGATGCGCTTCCCCTATCTGAGTGCCACCGCTTCATTGCTGCAGCAAACGCCAAAGACTTCCTACATGCAGTAGTTGCACGCTACTCTACGCCTGCCTCCGCGTCAGCTGGCCGCTTGATCCTCCCCATGCTCTTCCCCAATCTCTCTATTTTCCCCACTGTCGCTAATCTCGCCACTCATCTCTGTGCACTAGAGACTAGCTACCGCGCTGCTAGCACTACTGCCCAGCTCACTGCCTTTCCCCCGCCGTTCTGTGCTACCCTGTACTTTATTGCCATGCGCCTGCCTCACCGCTTAGCCATTGCCCGCGACCACTTTCTTAGCCAGCACCCTGGTGACCTCACCCTGACCACCTTTGTCGCTGCCCTTTCTGAGATAGAGACTCGCCAGCGCACTATCGCTCAGTCGAGCAGTATTGCGGCAGTCCCTACCTTTCAGGGTTGTGCTCCCTCCTAGTGCACGTACGCTGACGTTTCCACTGCGTTCGCTACGGATGCTCCTGCCCCTGAGACCGCAGCAGCAGCGGCAGCGTCGGGGCCGTCGCGGCCCCAAGGGAGGGCGTGGTGGTGGTGGTGGTGGTGGTGGTGGTGGCGGTGACAGTGGTTTTGACGAGGGGGCTAGGGCAGGTGTCCAGGAGCAGCAGCAGCCGCAGGAGCTACAGCAGCCGCAGCAGCAGCAGACGCAGCAGCAGCCGTGGGCCCGCCTCCCACCGGGGTGGCCAGGAGCCCCTGGAGGTGGTGGCCGAGGTGGCGTTCCTCGCAGCTTGGCATCTACCGGCGGCTTCGGTGCTGTGGGCTGCCAGTACCAGCTCCAGACCGGACCCCTCCGTAGCACTGTGTGCCGCCGCCCGCACCTGACCGCCCGCTGTTTTCGCCGCCTCGACGACCTCTTTCGTCGCCGCTTCGGCCCGGCCCCGGACCTCCCTGATTGGCCCAGTTTGCTGCGCCACGGTTTGCCTGCTTTTGACTTAGACATGGATTAGATTAGTTCTGCCCTGCATTCTCTATATGATGACGCTTCTAGTGTGTCCAGAACTTATTATTTTGTGTTCTCTAGCTTAGGCGTAGCACCTGTGTGTAGTACAAACACCCCTGCTGCGTCAGGCGTAGGACCACTTGCTTTGTCTAGCCTAAGCTCTACCCTTGCTCCTCCTTCTTCCACCGCTACCGCATTGCTGTCCTTCACACTTGACTCCGGTCCGTCTGCCTGCTTCTTCCGCGACCACGCTGCGCTTACGCCGCTTGCCGCACTTGCTGCTGTCGCACTTGCTGACCCCTCCTGTGGTCCTGTGGTTGCTCGCAGCTACACTTCTCTTCCCTGTCCAGTGGTTCCCTCGGGTTCCCTTATAGGCCTACACATCCCCTCGTTCTCCCGGAACTTAGTTGGTGTCAGCTGTCTTCAGGACCTCGGCGTCACCACTACGTTCCCGGGTCACGAGCGGTACGCTGTCTGTACCGAGGCCGCCTCAAGTTCCGCCCTTGCAACGTTCCCCCGGGACCCGGTGTCTGGCTTCTTTACGCTGGACACTGCTTCACCCCCGGGTGGACCGTCCCTCCCGGATCCTGCGTCCACCCAGGTCGCCGCTGCGTGCTCGTGTCGGTCGCTCACTCACCCGTTGCTTCTGTGGCACCACCGCCTAGGTCACCTCGCACTCCCGCGTCTGCGTCACATGTCCCAGCACGGTCTCGTCCTAGGTCTCCATGCGTCACTTCCTACCCTCCCTCCCTCCCCTGCACCGGCGTGCACGCCCTTCGTCGAGGGCTGGCTGCCCCGTGCTCCTCACTCCTCCTTGCTTCGTCCTGCCACTGCACCCCTCCAGCCCCTGCTACTAGACGCCTGGGGCCCAGCCCCCATCCCTGGACCGCGTCGCGAGTGCTACTTTTTAGTGCTCGTGGACGACTGCACGCGCTACACCATGGTGTTTCCCCTGGAGAGGAAGGCTGACGTGCCCGACGTTCGTATCCTATGGGTCGTAGCTGTACGCCTCCACCGCGGTCTCCCTGTGTTGTGCCTCCACTCCGACCGTGGCGGCGAGTTCGCCTCTTGTCGGCTTGGACAGTTCTGTCGTGCGAAGGGCATCACCCAGTCGTACACCCTACCGGACTCCCCGCAGCAAAATGGGGTCGCTGAGCGACGCATCGGCTTGGTCATGGAGGTGGCTCGTACCTCCATGATTCATGCCGGTGCACCCCATTTTCTGTGGCCGTTTGCTGTTCGCAACGCCGCTCACCAGCTTAACCTCTGGTCGCAGGTTTCGCCCACCCTTCTTTGGACCGGGTTCCCTGGTGAAGCGTCTGCGTTCCACGTTTGGGGCTGCCTCGCTCACGTGCTTGCCTCTGGCATGGACAAGCGCACTGCCTGTTGTGTCCCCTGTGTCTTCCTAGGTTTCCCCCCTGAGTCGTCTGACTGGCACTTCTATCACCGGCCATCTCACCGCTTCTTTCACTCCCGTGACGCCACTTTCGACGAGTCTGACTCCTTTTACCACCGCTTTCCCTATTGAGTTCTCCTGGTTTTCCCTCCCCTGTTTCTGGTTCCCACTCCCTCGGTAGCCCTTGCTCACCTCCCTCCCCGTCCTGCTCCGTCTGGTGTGTCTCACGTCACTCCCCTCCCGTCGGTTGTCCCCATCGAGGAGTCGGCGGACTCTGGTGGACCCGCGGCGCAGTTCTTGCCAGCTGTCTCTCCCCCAATGTCTCCTCTTCCGCCGCCGCAGTCGCCGCTGCAGCAGCAGCCGTTCATGGACTCTAGGGGTGCTGGCATTGAGGAGGCTGCTAGTCCTGGGGTTCCTGTCGTGGGTTGTCCCGGCGGGCTCGGGGGTGGCACCATTGCTGGAGAGGGTTCTCGCTCTGGGGGTGCTCGTTCTGGGCGTGCTGGAGTGGAGAGTTCCAAAGGTGGCTACAGTGCAGCAAGCAGTCCAGGTGTCGGCGTCGAGTAGCCGCAGCAGCAGCAGTCGCCGCTGGTGTCCGCCCTTTGCTTGCTCGGCCTTCCCTCCCCTGACTGCTCGCCTGCGCCTTCCCCGCTGCCTCCTCCCCTTCTGGTCCACGGTCCTATGTTTCCTCCGTCGGACTCGTCCCCAGCCTGTTTCCCTCCTCCTTCCCATCCTGTTACTCCTCCTCTGTCTCCTGACCCGACGCCTTCGTCTCACGTCTGGTCTCGACGTCCCTCTTGTGCTCGTCCTGTCTCTCCTGTTCAGTGTTCCCACCCTATGTTGCTTCGTTCCCACGCGTCTCGCCCTCCCCTCCTGCCTTTCCCTCTTCTGTCATCACTCACCGTCGCACCCCCCCCTCTATCTGACTACCTTCATGCTGCTCGTCCTCTTGTTCCTCGGGTCCTTGCCTCCCTCGTTACCGACCCGTCTATTCCTGTCTCAAGTCTGGACGCTCTTGTCGCTGCTGTCGCTGACTTCGCCTCTACCCGTCGCCTTGACTATGCCACCGCTCTGATCTCTGACCCTGTCCGCCCTCAGTCCGTCGGGGGTGCTCCTGCCCTCGGCAAAGACGTCCTAGAGGACCGGCAGTACGAGCTTGCTTTCCTGTCCGAAGCTGCTCCCCATCTTTGCTCCATGCTGCTAGTCCCTGAGGGTGACCCAGACGCCTTTGACATCCCAACCCCTCGCACTCACATTGAGGCGACCTCGGGACCCTGGGCCTCTCAGTGGATAGCTGCCATGGAGCAGGAGATGGCATCTTGGAGATCCACCGGCAACTACGTCGACGCAGTTCCCCTATCTGGGGTGAACGTAGTCGATGGCCAGTGGCTCTTCAAGGTGAAGCGCCCCCCTGGAGAGCCGCCACTGTTCAAGGCGCGCTACGTGGCTAGAGGCTTTAGTCAGCGAGAGGGGGTGGACTTCTTTCAGACCTTCGCCCCGACCCCGAAGATGGCTACTCTTCGGGCGCTGGTACACGTAGCAGCATAGCGTGACTACGAATTACACTCCCTTGACTTCTCCAGGGCAGTCTACACTAGCAGGTCTACCTACGCCGACTGCAGGGCTTCACCAAAACCTTTCCTCCTGGGACCCAATGGTTCCTCCGCGCCCAGTCTACAGCCTGCGGCAGGCCCATGAGTGGCACAACATGCTGCGTGCTATGCTAGCTGACCTACCGTTCTTTCCGTACTCTGCAGACCCCTCGCTCTTCGTTCGTGCTGGCCAGACTCCGTTCTACATCCTTGTCTACGTAGATGACCTGCTCTTTGCTACTGCAGACAGAGATGCACTGGCCTCCGTGAAGGCCGAGCTGTTGAGGAGACACACCTGCACTGACCTTGGAGAGCTGCGCCGCTACCTTGGCCTGCAGATCTCTA